ATGGGGATTTTTAAAAGGCTTTGTCTCGTGGTTTCGGGAAGACGTTCCCGTCAAAACCGTTTAGGGTGCTAATTTTGTGCTTTGCGTGTTAATCTTGGCTTCTTATTTTGCACGATTTAGTAGTACGTTGTTTGCAGTTGTCAAATCTTTGGCATAACGAAGAAGTGCTCGAAAGATTCTGAACTAGATTTACGCTTCGTGAGGTAAGGCGGCAAACATACACAATTATCACTTTTGCAAGGCAATCCCTAAGTAATATTGTGCCTTTACCGGTTTTTAGATGCACTCCTACCATGATGTGTTCATATATTTATACGGTAGGATGACATTCGTCAATCTGGTTGCTGGATTTGCTCGTTCCAAAAATGGCAATTTCAGTTTCCCTTGTCTTTTTCGGTACCAAGAGCCCAGCTTATGCAGAATCCCAAGTCAAGGCAGGAACAGTGTGTCTAGTTTTTCAATCAGTTAATGCCAAATCCTTGATATCTGCAGATATATCTGAGAAAATCCAGTTTTTGTAGGAGAAGGAACCGAGTGAGAAGATAAACAACCTGAAAAGCTGGTGAAATTAAGGCCTTATGCATTGCTTTCTTCTTTTGTCTCTGCACTTGGATTTTAAACTTATACTCCCACCAGTCGGTTGGTAGAAGCGTTTGGAACCATTCTCTTTGACTACAGGTCTAAAATAATATCAGTAAAGAATGTGGGATTTATTCCAAAATTTAATTTGAACATTTAGCGCTTGCTGCATATCTAGTATATCAAAACGCAGTGAATACAGACAAAAGTGCGACCGTTCATCCCATTATTACCTTTATACTCCTAAGCACAAGATAATGAAGACGGTTTTTGAATATTTCACTGATGTTCCAAGAAAAAATACCAACCCGTTCACTTCTCAATAATTTAAGTACTGCAAAGCAGATGACATAAGAACATCTTGAGAATTTCGAAGTGCGTATTAAATATGCACGAGCGTGCTTTTAATGATTAAAATGCAGTTCCCTTATAAGCCAAAATACGGCGGTAGCAAAGTCGTATTAGACCCTTTCTACTAGACTCAAGGAAATTACCGATTTATAGAATTAATGATGAATTTTGTAAGACGACTAAAACGTCTTTGTACTCTCAGAGAACTGAAGCATTTGTTATGCACTGCCTAAAGCTGCTTCTTCAAAACCAAGCATCGCACAATGAATGAAGGATATCCCACATTGCCTAAAAATTGAACCACGCTATCCGCAAATGAAGGAGAACGGGACGACAATGAGAGCTATTTGAAAAGCAGTAAGTTAGCGTAAAACAAATTCAGAAAATCGGGTTGAACCAAAACTTGATTATAAACTGGAAAAATATAAAAGCGATGAAAAGCGTAAAAGCGCTGCATTTAAAAAGAAAAGGCGGGAAAAATTAAAGGCAGAACCGACATCCAGGCAAGTATATACATGCACTCGCAAGGTACAATTTTGGGCTTTTTCAGCTGGGTGGAAAAGTTTAGCCGTGATGTACCGTGCCAAGTGTATCATTAAACTCACGTAACTTGCTCAAATTTTAAATGAACTTTCAGGTTAAGGGAATTATTCTATCGAAATTTAAATACTGATGTGTACGAGGAGGGAAATGTTTGAGTCCTGTCTGAGCCTGCAAGCGAGGTTCTCTTCGAAAGTGTGGCATTGCTTGGATGACCGCCCGGTGCGGTCAATGGAAAAGGCGGGTTTCTTGTTGTCGTTCGAGTGGTTCGTGTAGTAAATCTGGGAGTCGCATTGGGAGAGGGAAAGGAAGGGGGGCTTAGATCAAAAGCTTGCGCGCGCTGAGACCTTTGCGATTGACCTACGCCCCCCCTTCCCCATCTTCGCACACCATTAGTATGGTGGTCTTCTGAAAGCATGGCCGACGTCGATATCATCCACTGACTAAAACATGTGTTGTCGTCGTCTCCATTCTTCCACTCCCTCGGGCACACGCTCACCAATACCACAATCAGGGGCTCACAGTCTACTTCGCCTATCGGCCTCCAACTCATGAGAGAAAATCCTGCAGTCCGATAGAATGACGGTGGTAGGCCGTGTCACGGCGTACATTTATCTGCCTTGCTTCCTAGCCTTCGACTTCCAGCCCCGACTTCATATGCCAGCAAACGCATATAGAACCATGGAGGACACTAATAGGAAATGAACCTCTCGGTGGCGTGTCACATAGCAGCAGAAACGTCGATGAAACGCGACATGCTTGTCAGCATCCATGTTGGAAATATGATGGACGCACAATATACCCAACACGTAGCGAAACTTATGAAACCTGATGTCATTCACCCGAATAATCAGTTTAGGGAACCTCAAACGTTCCGCAGTTTCTTTTTTGGCTAAAAGAGTTTTGGCGATTTCCTATGTTAATACGCATTTGTTTATGTTTCTGTCATAGGGAGTGCTGACCTAAATAAGAAAGGATTGCCGGCGCTATTTTCGCCAACTGTAAACTATATTTTTCTACCCATATCAATTAGCTCAAACGAGATGCAAATAAACAAATTATTCTCATAAGAACATGAAATTTTTACAGAAATGCTGATGTGCATGCCTATATGATTTATGCCCTAAAGAAGCGGTAGTAGACCTAGAGAAATTTATTTTAACCTACCTGTAACTTTTGGGCATATGCAGATATCCCATAATTGACAGTGGAAAGATCTATCCTCAAACTCTTACGTTAATTTTTTGCGTGCAATAATATAGTTCCCAAACGACACGAATTCTTCGAACTCGTAATGGACACTGTACGAACGAATTTCCAGCCCCTTAAGGACTTTTCTGGCATTTATTCCATTATGAAGTGAGGTTATAAATACAAAATACAAACTACCGGAACACAAACATGACAAACATAGCACCAATGAACTGAACAAGGGGAATTGTGTCGTCTGCCGCAGAGGCTTAATCAGTCTCTGCCGCGGAACTGTATGAGCGGACACGATAATTAAATTTATTCCTCGACTTTGCGTCGGATGATGTGAAGTATGTGGAAATTTGTCGGATAAATACTCTAAAGGTGTATTTTTAGGAGACAACGTAATGCAATAGGTTTTTGAATTAATCAATGACATATTTGTCGTACGCCATCGTTGAAGGAATTTATATGTGTAAATGATTGGGCTTGATCTTTGAAAATTTCATAAATTTGATTCATATCGTTGTTTTCACAACAGAGATCGTCTGAGGATTCGTTACTTTGGTCATAGTTTTAAAGAACTATCCTATTTTAGCGTTTTGACCAACACAAACAACCGAATCATTTTGAGCGGCTACGTGAGAACACTGGATGTCGCAACATAATCGCCGGCATTTGAAATACGCCTAGGGCGCAATCGGCTCTGCCATCGTCGGAACTCAAACAGTAGTCTTACGGAGTAAACAATATCTTGGCACACGGAAAGGGTATGCTTATGATTGGATCAGACAAACATAATCTAACCTCATCGTACTGGCCGTCCGCTGACATGTGAACTGAAAAATTTCGTTTCTAAGGTAGCATCATCCGCGAACTCAATTTCAGTCCTTTTAGCGCTAATGATCATGTCCTAAGCAAAAGCTACATCAAACCATTTAGACATCGTTTTGAAACACACAACCAAAAAGTCAGTATTCGAACGACTGTCATGCTACAAAGAGACCGATTCCTGAGCTACTAAGATTGTTGTTTAGATCATGCCCTGCTTATGCACTTTTACTTACTCATTAGTTCGCGTGGAAAGGCTTTTTTTACTCTTGCTAATTATGTTTACTCACTTGACGCAAAGTTGCTCGCTTCCGTTTTTCCGTTTGTGGTTGAGCGCTGGAAAATGGATCCCCCGTATTACACTCGTCCTTGCCCCGAATTTCAGGGTGGGTTGGTGATCGAATTAGGATTATAAGGGTTCGGATTAATTTTAGAGTTAGAGTTAGGACACTCGAATACGTATTCATTAGGGATTTAACATAAGTCCATCTGTAATATGAGAGCAACAGATATTTCCATGTCCGATCCCGTTTTTCTTAAATTTATCGTTTTTAATCAGCGTGATAGCACCTGCTCCATTTAGTTGTGGACCCTTCATTGTAAGTTGGAAGATGTAGTCGCTGTGTTTGGAAAGCCTTTATATTAATTAGAAATGTTTGTACCGATAGGTATAGGACTCCCAACTGACTTTAGCTGCCCTGGGGACCACGCCATACGTTAAAATGGTGATAGAGGGGATTTTCGGGTGGGACAACACAGAGAATAGAGAGCAAAAGATACAGAAAATGTACGAATTTCTGCCGAAAGTAATATTATACGCTGTCGTTGGCAAAGAAGTTGAGCGTGATAGTTAAAAATTAAACAAAAGCAATTTCCAAAAAACAACGGATTATTTAAAGCGCCGCTAATAAGTTTACATTTAGTCAGGAAGAGAAACAATTTTCAAATAATGGGAACGGTGAACACTAGGTGACGTTTACAGGCACATTGAATTTTGGGGTATATTTTTGGAGTTGCAATCTACTCGGAGGTTTTACACCCCATCGTTCCCTAAATTGTTTATGCAGTCACGAATACAGAGAGTTTTCGATGGGGAAATACTCAGTGTAGGATTGACACCGTCCATGAGCCCGATGAACATGGTGGTTGCACATCGCGGCGCTCATCTGTCACCTAACTCCTATCTGTGACTCTACGAACCAACGTCTGTCTAGCGGCTACACTCCGGGCCAAACCAAAGTGCAAATCTCCACATTCAGCAACCTCATCTGCTGCGCAACCCAGTTTGCACGCAAAACAAAATATGGCTACGAGCTGAGCGATAGTAATCCTGCGTCTTCGGGGGTCCAACTTCCCTGCCATCATCGGCGCCCACGTCCCAACAATAACTGCCTCAAACGAGGCAAAGACAATATTCTACGAAGGCCTGCACACCCTCCTGGTGACTGTGTTGAAAGCGAAAAAGCTGATTGTCCTTGGTGACCTCACCGCCCGCGTCGGCACAGACGATGCTACCTGGAGAAGTGTTGGGTCCTCACGGAACTTCCGGCTGCCGCGACAATGGCTTTCTTTACCTGCGGGCCTGTGCTGAGTACCGCCTCCTGCTGACCAACACCTTTCGCCTGCCGACGCGGAAGGCGACTTGGATGACCCCCTCATCGCGGCGCTGGCAGCTGTTGGACTCTGTTGTCGTCCAGCGGCGAAATCAGCAGGACGTGCCGGTGACGGAGGTGATCCCGGATGTCGGTGGCTGGACGGACCATCGCCTTATCCTCTTCGAGATGAGGCTCGGCCTGCAACCTTGTAGGAAGCCTCAAGGTAAGTAACCCTCAGGTAAGCTGGATGCTGCTTTGCCTGCTCACTATTTGTTTTTCAGAAATTAACTGACTGAGTGGCTGGAAGACCTGCCATCTGCAGATGAAAACGCCTCCGTGGAGACTCGATGGTGCCGACTACGGGAGCCCGTTCACTCGACCGCCCTCGCTGTCCTTGGCTGCGCGCATCGTCAGCACCAGAACAGGCTCGACGGCAACAACGCAGCCATCAGTAATCAGCTGAAGGAGAACAGACTACACAGTGCCTACTTCGACCATCCAACCGACGCGAACAAGGCCACCTTCTACCAATGTCGCCACCTTGCGCAGAAACGGTTGCGTGAAATTTAGAACGACTGGATGGCTCTCAATGCCGAGGAGGTCCAGGGGTATGCCGACCGCAACGAATCAAAGACCTTCCCTGCTGCGATCAAGGCGATCTACACCCCCCCCACTACCAACGAAAGGAACCGCGTCGCTTCTCAGCTCCGATGGATCACGTTTCTGAAGAAGAAGAAGAAGAAGATGCAGGTTCTGATGCGCTTGCCCGAGCACTCAAGAAACGTTTTAAACCGTCCCTCCACAATCTCCGACGTCACCATCGACCGGCTCCCCAAGTAGAAACCAACACCGATGTGAATCTGCCGTCCTTTCTCCCAGAAACCATCCGCGCCGTGCAACAACTCTCTAGCGGGAAAGAACCCGGCTCCGGTGTGATCCCAGCTGAAATCCAAAAGCACTGAGCCACCGGCTGATGGACCAAATCCTGGCGCTGCGGACAACACCCTTAGGATTTCAAGGACGTAGTCATAGTCCATAGACACGAGCGTAAAAGGAACCGGCACCTCTATGACAATCACAGCGGCATCACGCCGGAAGGATCTTCGACTGCAACCTCCTCAATCGTCTCAATGACCACGTAGACCAAGGACTTCTGCGGGGCTGCCAATTTGGCTTTCGGCGACACCAGGCAGCCACTGATATGATCTTGGCCGTCCGCCAGCTACAAGAGAAGTTCCAGGAAATGCGGACTTACATCTGCACCACATTCGTGCATCTAAAGAAAGCCTTTGACACGGTGAATCAAGAAGAAATGTAGAGAATTATGCAGAATTTCGGCTGTCGCGAGTGATCCGCGCACATAGTACGTCAGCTCCACGAAGGGATAATGGTGCCCGTCATGGACGATGGCGCAATCTCCGAGGGGTTCGCAATGGCCAGTATAGTGAGGAAGGGCTGAGCCCTCGGGCTCAAATTCTTCGGCTTCATGTTCTCTTCATACTGATGGAACCCTACCGTGATGAGCGCCACGGGATCCACATCGACTACAGGACCGACGGGCACATTGTCAACATCTGGTGAATGCAGGCCCCGACACGTCTTTCCACAACTATTATCCACAATCTGCTCTTCGCTGACGACTGCGCACTCAATAGTACCACAGAAGAAGACGTGCAACGGAGCATTGTCCTTTGCGTCTACGGCTGCCCCCACTTCCGACTGATCATCAATACGGACAAAACGGTAGTCATGCATCAGCAACCATCGAACGCTGAATACAATGTCCTTCACATCCGCGTCAAAGGCACCGGACGGAAGACAGCGGATAACTTCAGGTGCCTAGACAGTACAGTGTCTCGCTGCATCATAATCGACGGCGAGGTAGCCCACTAGATCTCCAAAGCCAGTTAAGCCTTCGTCTAATTGCAGAAGTCCATGTGGAATTGCCAGGCCTTCAGATGAATACCAAACTGAAGATGCGCGAGGCCGTCGTACTGATGGAACTCCTCTACCGAGTGAAGACCTGGACCGTCTACTCCAATCATGCCAAGAAGCCCAAACAGATACATCCCGGCTGCCTTCGCGGAATACTAAAGCTGGGATGGCAAGACAGGATCCCCGACACGGAAATCCTAGTACAGACCAGAATCCTCAGCATCCAGGCCATGCTGGTGCACCTGTAACTACGCAAGAGGGACCATCTCGTACAGATGGAAGATACATGTCTACTAAAACAACTCTTCTTTGGTGCTGTCGCCACCGTGTTCGCCGATCGGGAGGACCAAAACAACGCTATAAGGATCCATTAAAGAATTCTCCAAAACGATTGCATATCAATCCGGAGACCTAGGAGAACCTCACCCTGAACAGGCCGGCATGGAGAAAAGAACTGAAGACTGACGCTGTCATCAACGCAGCAAATCGGATCGTCGTCGCCAAAGTCAAACGGGGGGCTCGCAAATCACAAGTGCCTTGCCTCCTCATTGTAAACCATCCGCGGCTTACAACATGCCCGCGCTGCCCAGGCGCATTCCGCGCACGAATAGGTCTTGTAGGATGCTGTCAAACCCAAAGCGCCATCAATCCGATCATTTCTACTTCTTATCCCACACTCGTCCCTGCCTCAAAACTCACGCTAATTTCCACATCTGTCATTGCCAATAACATTCTCGCTGTACCGCCGCCGCCACCATCCGCTCTGCCGCAACCCCTGTATCGACCGCAGCGGTCAGCATTAACACCACCACGACTTCACGCAATCTCCCGCCGATGGGACGACATCTGATGCACCCTAAACTTTTACCATCACCACCGACAGGACTGGTTTGATTACAACGACGATAAAGACCGCCATATTCTCACTTATAATGATAGAATTCAAAGGATCTGCGTCAAACACAAAACTGCGGCCAATAAGATGACCTTCCGATACAAGCGAAGATGTGAGTTCCGGGAACCAGTTGATGAGAGGTAGAAGCGATCGCGTGGTGGCGATAGTGGTAGCGGTGGTGGTGGTGGTGGTGGTGGT